GAGGCCACCGAGGAGCGGACGCCCACCAATGCTCGTGGGCACGGCGCTGGGGTGCTCACGTGTGTGTGCAATCACTGGGGAGAAGGGCCGTGTGTCGGGAGAGATAAGAAAGACCATGTGGGAAGGAAGAAGAGAGGATTGAAAGGGAAAAATAGAAAGAAATTAATTCAAAAAGATAAGGGTACTATAGTAATTTTGTTATTTTTGTCCAATGGAAAAAGCTGTTTTTCTAGCAAATGGTTCACCAAGATAGCTTGTGTTCCACCAGTACGACTTCCTTTTTGACCAAAAGCTAAAAAAAAATTACTTCACTATAGTGAAACTGAGTTGTACGGTCAATAATGAAACGCTGTGCATGTCACCTTTTTTCTCCAACTTATGCACATCACTTTCACTTCGAAATTGAGTCGTTGCTGATTTAATAAACACAGTATATGGCACGAAATACATGCAACGTACATGATTTGATTTGTTCCGCCAAACCATATTCATCAAATTATATCACTTTATATATTTGCATCAATCGTGCATGACATATATTGTCCATTATAAGTTATAACACAGACAGCCCAGAGGATGGAAACAGTAGTGTTGGTCTAGCTACGCACCGGAATAATACTCACGACTTCTGTTGTTAAAAAAAAATACTCACGACTTCTTTCATACACCTGCGAGTACGTCTGGTACCAGTTCAATATAAAGGTACCAGACTTCGGAAGCGCTCGCATGTTGGCTGAAAGCATGGTGAATTTAGGAGAAGCGTGTCATGCTGATTTTCATTGATTATACACGTACAAGAAATCATGCAGATGTGTGAAGCGTGCGCTGCAGATTTTCATTAATCGTGTGTATATGGTACATATATATGAAAATGAAAGCATGCATGCTGGTGGGAAAAGCGTGTGGTGCTGATTTTCCATTATTACTAGAGAAACGGGTTATCTGTTTTGTCCTTTGCTTGCACGACAGCAGGATCAATGATGATGAGGCCACACAGAGTTGCCATTGTTGCGATGGATGCCATGGAAGTGAAGACTTCGTCAGGTCTTAGTCTAATTTTATGTCAATCTTATGTGGTCTTTCTTTCCTATGCTGGGTCTTTCTTAATATATCTATAAGTAATATAAATTTCCCTAGGGTGCCTTTACTATTACATAAATGGTTTTCGGAAAGGTATTTCCACTGCTGATTCTATTAAAAATAATGGTGGTAACATATCACCACCGATATCGCTGGTTTTATTTCGATGAAAATTGAACTGGCGGTGGAAATGGGATGTAGTAAGTAACTGAGAAAACCACCTCTCCCATCATCACCCTCAACCTAGGCACTGCCATCATCTCTCTTTCCTCCCCCGACCCCCCGCCTCCTATCTCTCACCTCGGTCGGCGCCTCACTTCAGGCGCGATGAGGATAGGGCTCGTCGTCCCCTTCCCAAGCGTGGCGGCAACAGGGCTCCCCCTGTCTATGCACAGTAAATGTGTTAATGTCTTCCTGGCTAACTTATAGGACATCATATGATCAGGCAAGCCATATCAAGTGATCTGGTGAATGCTCTAGCGAGGAATCTTCTCTGTTTCTTCTTTGTTTTAGCCCAAATCTTGATCAAACCTTATCCACTAACACAAAAATGATTTTACAAGACAAGCCTTTCTATTTTTAGAGGCGGACAACAATTCTATGGGTCTCCTCAAATAGTTTGGCATTTTAGGAGGCATTTTACTCATTTACAGAGACAACCCACCTCAAAAAATCGATTAACATAGGTGGGCCTCATATGGCGTCTGCCTATGAAAATGGGTGTTATTTTTAGAGGCTTACACCTTTAGAGGCCTACCTCTATTAACGGATCTGAAGCCCAAGGCCCATCTCAAAGCCTAGAATTACATTTGAGTATATAAATCAGCTAGGGTTTCGACTCCATCTGTCTCTCCCACCTACCCATTTGTCCATCCACCTGTTGCCTCTGATTCTTCCAGTCCTCTCCCTCTATCCCACCTGCCCCTTCCCCTCTCACTTTCCACAGAGTGGAGCACCATTTTCCTGCCTCGCCAGGATCCCATAGGTGGGGTGCTACTCCCCATCCCCCCGCGAGGACCCCACATGTGGAGCGCCACTCCCCCGCAACGTGCATGGATCCAACACCCAGAGGTCATCCCTATCAAGATTTGGTGACTAGAGGTCGTCCCGTCAGGATCTAGCACCTAGAGTTCGTCCCCGCTAGTATCCGGAGGCTAGAGGTCATCTCGCCGTGATCCGGCGCCTAGAGGTCGTCCCCCACTGGGATCCTATGCCTAGAGGTTGTCCCCGCTGTGATTCGGCTACTGGAGGTCATCCCCGCCAGTATCCGGGGCCTAGAGGCCCCCACCTTTGGCCAACACTTCCTAACCACAGCGACTTTGATGGAGAGGAGGCCAAAGTCTAGCGCCTCCGTGTCATTGCTTCCACCTCCAACCAAGGAGACCATTGTGTGGATCTCGTGACCAAACAAAAAGTCTAGGAGGGAGGACCATGACGTGGCATGGGTGGAGCTCAGTATGATCTGGTGGGCCATGGTGGTGGAGGAGCGGTGTTGGACAACAATGAGCACCAGTGGGGGCAACATAACACCTAGATGATGGGATTGGCGGCAGGCTTAGGAGTAGGCTTGGCGGTGGTCTCAAGAGTGGCCTTGTCAGCAGAGCCATTTTTTTTATTTTTTTCTGATTTTCGAAGGTGGGCATATTGCCCGTCTCCGCTGTATTGGATTAACAGTGATGTTGTTCTGGAGGCGGAAGGTGCTGCCACCTCTAGAACTATTTTGGACCTTGTTTGTTATTGTTTATAGTAGTAGTGAGCCTTGTATTCCCGTGACCCGTTATAACATGTCTAACACATTTTTAGCATACTTTTTAGTCATAGACTTGTGTTTTCAAGGGCACATGCTCCTTACAGGGGCGAACACTAGTAGAAAAGCAGGTTTCACTCCCGGTTGGTAGGGGCCTTTAATCCCGGTTGACCAACCGGGACTAGGAATCCAAGACTAAAGGCATGACTCTACAGTCCCGGCTGCTCTAAACCTGGACTAAAGGTCCTTGAAGTCTAAAAAATAATACCTCCCACCCTTGTGCCTCACGGGATTCGAACCCAAGACCACATGTATTGCCTCACGCACACCTTTCCACCCCACCAACACAGCACGAGTCTAGATGGGATGCTTTTCTTTTGACGTAACCCATCAGAGGACCTTTAGTCCGGGTTCATAACACCAACCGGGACTAAAAGGGTTAACATTAGTCCGGGTTGATGATATTAACCGGGACTAAAGGGTCAAGGCTCTTTAGTCCGGGTCCGTAACACCAACTGGGACTAATGTAGACCTTTTAGTCCGGGTTGGTGTTACTGACCGGGACTGGTCTTCTGACGCCTAAGAAACTTGGACCCGGGACTAATGCTCACATTAGTCCTATGTCCAATTCTAGCCGAGACTAATGTGCTAAACCGAAAGTATGTTCTCTATTAGTGGAAAGAGACTGGCTGAGTGAAACCCTAGCCACCTATGTACTCTCGGAACAATAATATGCCTTGATACTTGTCTCAGCTATATTTTTAGATAGAGAGGGCTAAAGGCCTTAAGGCCTAGGGGTTGCATCTTCTAATTCCCAAGACTCTCATGTGTTGGAAACAATGTAGACAAATTTTATACGCATGAAACTCATTTCATCATATCTCTCCCTTTATCTATATTATGCCATGTCAACTTATTTAATGTCCATGCCCGCTGAGAGTCTGAGACTGGCCTTAAGAGGCATGTCCCTGTTGTACGTCGACCTCTTAAGCTCTCTTAGTTTCCTCTAAAAATTGAATTTTGATTTACAGAGACAAGTATTTATCATTGCGCCTCCTATAATTTTAAGAGACAGCACATTTTACTGACCGCCTTTGTAAATGAGATGTAGTGTCTTCTAACATTTTTATGTAGTTAGCCACCCAATCCTTAATTAGTGTGTAACATTATGGTAGTGTTTGGTTCACATCAGTGTAACGTGATTCGATTACTGCCGGTAACTGATTCCATTAATTAATGTTTGTTTTTGGCCTCGTGGAATCGAGTACCGCCGTTATCAGATACCATACTGTATAAAGCTGATACAGCTCCAACCCCCGTGTAATCAGATTACGGACTCGTCTTCCCGCGTAATCATATTCCCTTTGGGTTTCCAATACCATTTCAGCAACCAAACATGTCGTATATTGCTGTGTACGAATTAGTCCAACAAAAGAACATAAAGAAGCAGATTCCATATAGAGCAGAGCTACCTACGACTTATCCGTGGAACCTAGTCATTGATTGCACTCTTAACTGAAGAAAACTATAGGCTCATCACCTACAAAAACAAAACGAGTAAGTAAACAACCGGCAATCATAAAACACGTTCTTTTTTGTTCGGAAACACCAATGAGCAACGCTTGTAACTACTTGCAGCCAGTGAGATTAGAGGCCTGTCCAAGAGGGAGAGAAAAGAAACTATCGCTGACTGGTCAGCCTCAATAATAGGTAGCTAAAGGCTTGTTCATGTGCATGCATGGTTTCCCAAGAAATATATACTCGTACTTATATCACAAGCAGGTACGGTGCATCTCCGTCACGCTCTTTCTTTAACATCTACTCTCGGCAGTAGTCGGCAGCCAATTGTTAGTACGTTGCCATCACATGCATGTGCACATACATATCTATCTATCTATATAAGAACTTTAAGTTTGAGGCATGTCCCATCGATTTTACTGTTTACCCGATTCACCTCAAGACATGTATCACTGTAGATCAACAGTGACGGGTATCGGGCCCGTGACGGACAGTAACAGAGCATGATGAACAGCCCCGACCCACTAAGGAACAGCCCCGACCTTTTTCGTTTTTTTTTTTGCGTTCACACCTGAAAATTAAAAAAAAAACCGTGCGAAGCACGGGGCCTCCAGCTAGTATTATATAAATACGTACATCCGTGTATAAGCGCTAAATGCAAGCCTCAACTCACAGTCCTTTGCTTACCCTGCCTTGGAAACTTCGAACTCGATACAGAGAGAGAGATCATGTGCCAAGAGAAGAAGTCAGGGGGCTGCGCCAAGTGCACCGTTTCAGCCTCCTCTTCCGCGTCGCCAGCATAGGCTTGGCGGCGGTGGCCGCGGCGGCCATCGCCACGGCGAGCCAGTGCACCGTCTACGCCGACTACGGCGCGCGCCCGCGCACCGTCACGTACAGCGACTTCCATGCCTTCGTGTACGCACACCAGACCAGAGAACTAAAAATCCATTGCCGCAAGTACCTGCACAACATTTGTACATTTGCGGCTGTGATGCAGGTACCTGGTCGGTGGCGGCGACCGCTATTGCCACGCTGCTAGAGGCAGTAGCCCTGTTCCTCAGCTCGAAGAAGAAGGGCAGGAGAAAGACAGCCTGGAGGGTGCTCATGCTGCTCCACGGCGCCGTCGTGCCCGCGCTGCTCTACACGTCCGCCGGCGCGCGTTTGCCGTCAGTTGGGACGTCTCCTACTACTTGGAGCCCAGTGGGAGGCGCTTCAGCGTCTGCCACAGCAGCGTCGGCGGCGGCCGCTTCTGCGAGCAGGTGCACGTGTCCATGTGGCTCGCGCTCGGCGCCGCCTTGGCCGTGTCCATTGCTGAGTTCCTGACCACATTGCGATGGTGCCATGGCTGTGGGTTGGGTTCGGACTCTGGCTCTGACTCAGACTCGGACTCGGATTCGGAGTCCGTCTGTCGGCATGGGTGCCATTGCAAGCATTAGGATGTGCCATCTTTTTTGCTTTTGAATTTGTTGGTAAATCAATAATTGTAAATCCATGGCTTGTTTACCCTTTGTGATTGTTTGGCCACAAGTCGTAATGTAGCTTTTTTTTGGTTAAAAATAAAAAAAAGCATGCAACTCTGCTAAGTGTACTGCAAGAAAGGAAAAGGATTCAAAGTGGACTGGACCAAACAGAGGGGGCTTAATTGATCCGTTGGCCTGTCAGTTCCCAAAGCATGTTGGGCCGTCACTTTGGGTTGCAAAGCAAGTGCTGGGCCGTCAGTTTGACTCATGAATGCATAATTCTGAGCAGAGATGTTAACAATATATATACTACTACTATGAATTAACAATGGAACCTAATCATTGCTAATACCCTAATACTATAGGCAAATTTGTTGGCTTGCCAAGCAAACTAAGCGATTTAGCGAGTAAACTAGTGGCGAACCGCCGTCGATATAATATGCAAGTATGTAACAACTAGTAGAATCAAGTGAGATTAGAATATTAGATGCTAATCCACTAATTAGTCATTACCAAGAAAGCAAGAAAACAAAACGGAAGTGAGCTTGTCGTGCTAACGAACGTTAGTTGAGCGTGCAAACATGCCGCCTCCAATCACTCCCGTTGACGATCTCTTCATCATCCACTTGTTAGTTGTCACCAAATGCTCATATATGTATATATACATCTACGCGACAGCTCAAGCTAGCTAAGGCTCAACAAGCTCAAAGTCAACAATCGAGCTTCTAACAAGCTAGCTTGCTCATCCATCCATCGATCGGCGCACGTCAACCATGCACGACGAGGAGAAGAAGGAATCCAAGTGGGCGACGGCGGTGAGCATCGCCGGCCGCATCGCGGGCATGGGCCTGGCGGTGGCGGCGGCGGTGCTGATGGCCACGGCGAGCCAGTGCACCGTGTACGCGGCTTATGGCGCGCGGCCACGTACTGTCACCTACAGCGACTTCCCGCCCTTCGTCTACCTGGTGGGCGCCGCCTCCATCGCGGCGTTCCTAGAGGCCATCGCAATCTTCCTCGTCGTGTGGAAGAAGGGCAAGGACAAGACGGCCAAGGTGCTCATGCCGTTGCTGGGCGTCGCCGTGCCCGCGCTGCTCTACTCGGCGACCGGGGCCGCGTTCGCGGCGGTGTCCGACATGTCCTACTGCTCCGCCAACGGCAGGCGCGTCAGCGTCTGCGCCGGGAGCGCCGCCGCCGGCGGTATCGGCGGCAGCAACTTCTGCAGCCAGGTGCATATCTCCGTCTACCTATTGCTGGCTGCGGCCGTCGCCGTGTCCGTCGCCGAGGTGGTCAGGGGCCTCGGAGGCTCGGCGTCCGGTGGAGATTCGGACTCGGACTCCAGCTCCAGCTCTGAGTCCGGCGGTTGTGACCATGGGTGCCATCACAAGCATTAGGTTTTGCGTTTTGCACCATGGTGTGGCTTCATTTCATCTTCTGAATTCATTTCCATTGGTGGCCCTTCTGTATTTTATACGTACCAACAGTATCATGGATAAAAATGCTATTGGAATATGCATTGTGATAGATGTCATCTTGGACTCCTTTTATAGTTTTTTTAACGAATTTTTGCGTGCAGAAGTAGCTCTGGCAATTATCATTCCCTCAGTTATTTACTCCGGTCACAAATAAGCAACATGTATGGCCGATGTACACTTTCTTGGTAATAACGTTATAAAGCATCGCGAAAACAATACTATTTGTCAATAAAAATCAACACATTTACAAATTTCCAAAATTAATTAATACCGTGATACGCAGTCCTCTCATGAATATTCAAAGTAAAAATTATCCAAATTGAACAAACAGAATGTACCTTATAATGGAATGTAGACCATAACATAGTTGCCCAAGAAGGAAAACATAACATTTTGTGGAATACCGAAAATAAGTGATGTGTACTTGGCCTCTAGAATATAATCTTGACTACTACCTCGATTTTATAGTTTATAAAACATTTCAAAACCCTAGTCACAGAACTATTCCACACAAATTCATTAATTTTCGAATATCAAAATGAAGAAATATAAAATAATTTGTGAAACAAAGTTTTTATTTATAATTATTCATAAAACACAATATGGCGTACTTGTGACTATACGGAATCCCTGGCCAAAGGTCAAAAGTAATATATATACACTGAAAATACACCCTCACCGTCTGTTAGTGAGACATGGAAACGAAAATAAGTTGTGTAAAGACTCGATGAACTAATGGTTTGTTTGGTTTCTGAAGTCGCCCCATGCTTCATGAGGTGATATATCATAAGTTCATCTATGAGTTTTGACGGAATCAACCCATTCCTCATGCATATACTAATTATTAGCTTATGAGGAATGAGGTGATGATGAATCAACTAATTCGTTCCACAAACCAAATAAAAAAAGTGGCGGGTGAGAAAAATATGGACCACCTCATTTTTCAAACCACACACCATAAGTAGTTGGAGCTAGGTGACGTGTCATGACAAGAAATAGGCATATATAATTCAAACCGAGATGTACACACTCAAGCCACCTGCATACTTAGGCTCAGTTCCTTGAATGACTAAATGAGTCACCTATACTCGAAGGTTGCTTGGACATAAAGAGAAATTTTGTGGTTATGACGATATCAAATAGGGCAAAATTACCATGCATCTTATCTGTAGTTGAATGAACGTCTCTCTAGATGGCTAAACCAAATATCGACGTTGAAAGCTAAAAACTATTATATGACTTACGCCTTCAACTGTTCATTGTCTTCCAAGTGCAATTCTTTGCTACAAGGAGCGAGAACATATTGCTTTCATCCATCAAGCTTAAAGATTTTGCAGAAATGAACGAAAATGAGACCTCATCAGTGGTAGAAAAAACAAAATGCTTCCAAACTTTGCTGATGGAGGACATTGACCCGTGTTGCGCAATTTTGGAGAAATTAAATGTTGTATGACAAGTAATTTTTATATCCAATTGTTAAGATAACAGTACTTGCATTGCGCAACATGTTACTTTACTCTGTATTTGGAAGACGTTGGTGCCTACTGAACAACAAGTACAGCTTTGTATAAATAAAGGTCTCAACAAACTTCTGTTAGAGGTCAAGTCACACACACAACTCACATAGTCAACACCGGTGCACAAGGTGGGATATACAATCGGGACTCTATGTACCACTTCTGAACTTTCTCTGTGTGCAGTAGTCATTCGGTAAGCACATGGAAACTAGCTACCAGTTTTGTAGAAAAATAAATAAATGATAATCTGGCTTCAATGCTTAAATATATGTGTTTTTTACATTCAATAATCTATGATCCTAGGTACATTTTAAGTACACAAGGAGAGAATTTTGTTACTACTGGATCACAAAACAAACATTTATGAGTTCTAGTGCCAGATGTCAGATAAAACATGACTGAATTAAGAAGTCCTTGAGTTCAAATGACGTCAACAGTTGAGAGCCAAAATTTTCTTTCCATTATCAATATTTTTTAAATATCGGTTGTCACTGATAAATGGGAATAACAGAAATAAGTATCAGAAATCTATTGGTGATATATACAAGAAAATTTCAGCCAAAATTTATATAAAAAATTATTAATTCATAGAGAAAATCAAGTAAAATATGTCTAAGCTATCTGATATAAAAACAATACAAAATAGTATAAAAATTGAAGATAAAGCGTTTGAGAGCTTGGCGTGCCGCTGGGAGAGAGCAAACAGCAGAAGCTTGGAAAGGAAGATCAGGAGGGGTGAAAATAGGATCGATTTTTAGGGTTAGGTTACTGTGGGACTTTTATCCACTCGTCCTGGGCTGGCGCGCGTTCGTGGGTCCAAATCCTGGCAGATCAAATTCAAGTTCATGAACTTTTTTTAACGATACACGCTAAAGATCAGCTCAATACAGAAATTTCATTTTTGTACCAGTGATATTTAAATTTTAAAGCGTGTTCCAAACAAACCATGTTTTTTGGGGGAAACTTTTTCAAAATGACATATTTTGCAGTTTGTATTCAATTTTGAGAAGTTTAAATAGTTAGGATAGAAGTGTAGGTGATTAATTTGAGTTAATTATAATTATGCTTCGATATATCCAGCAATAGGCCGAATTGTCAGACTTAAAACTCATTTGGTGAAGAAATAATATAAGTTCTTATATGTCGTCAAATGGAAAATACAAAACGAATAATGTTTGCAAGTAGCAGTGGAAATGGTTATTAACAAGATGGTTAATGATTGATGTGCCTGGAAACCAAAAGGCGCCACAATGCTGATCGATATGACTGGCATGTATATACCGAGTCCAAGTCAACGATCGACTACGCACCTTATCAACTGCCCCATCATTTGTGCAAATTGCGTTTCTATAATATTCAAGTTTGATTTGCTCGTGCGTGAGAGTGGTAGTTAACCACGTCATCGCAATGATATGGATCTCACATTTTGGATTACCATGTAGCATCCATCTCATTCGACCGCATAAAACTATCTAGCTAGTACCTTTTTTAATATATATTCTATCTACAAATGTGTAGCCTAGCCTAACTGCTGTCAGAATCATATTAGCAATAAGTAATTTGAGATAGTAAATGCAAAATGCAAGCTCCATAATTGGAAGAACTACTAGAGGTTGCTTCTTTATTAATTATGATTTTGTTAGGTTCAACTACTAGCTTTGCATATCCATGCGTTTAATCCGTACTTGATGTAAGGATGAAAACGGTACGGAAATATCCTGTACCGAACCGCATCGTTTTCTACATTTAATCCGATCAAATTCGTATTTTCGGACAAATTCGAATTCGGTTCGAAATTCAGAACACCAAATTCGAAATCAGAACGAAAACGGTTTAGACATTTTTTTCGACCATTTTCTACTTTTCTACTTTTAATTCGGAATATCCCGAATTCGAAATTCGGTTTAAACCAAATTTGGCCCACTACAAGTCCAACCTTAGAAAAATTATATATTTTTCATACGATCTCGGATGAAGATGATTTTTATATGAAAATTGTAGCTCTCGACGAGATCTACAACTTTCTAGTCCTTAGTTTTTTCATTTGATGTCTTGAAGATGTTCAAAAAAATTAAACAAAGTCAGCGATATATTAATCGTGTACAAACGCTCGTTGCCTTAAAAAATCATATCTTCCTTACATCATGTCGAATGGAGATACTTTTTAAGAAAGTTGTAGGACTTGTTAATTATTATGTACTTGTTAATTGTTATGCACTTGGTCCTATGAGTCAATATTCCGTATTGATTTTTCGTATACCGACCGTGTTCGACATAATTCCGCTCGAATTAGTTCGTTTTCGAAATTTTTGATATTCCGTTAGTTCGTGTTTGTTTTCGTGTCCGGCTTTACCGCTTTGGTTTTCGTTTTCGTATTCAAATATAAAAGTAGAAAACGAATGAGAGGTTTTCCAACCATTTCCGACCGTTTTCATCCCTGTGAGAGACGTGGTGGATGCGAATGCTCGTTGAGTTCTCTGAACCATGGCTGGCGGTGGCAACTCCGACGGGTCGTCGGACGCGTCCAGACTCGCCATCCGCATTGCCACCGTGGCGTCGGTGGCGTCGGGCCGTCTGCGGACAGGATGGCGTCCTTCTCCCAGCGCTCTTGCACCGGCTGCTCTCCGGTGACGGCAAGCCAGGTCTCCTACAGCGACTACAGTTCCCTTAGGTACGCCGTACGCGCACCGGCCGTATATCCATCCATCCATTCTTCTTCCTCGCATGTCGGCGCATGAGGTCATGGCACCATGTCACCATTGCTGGGAAGCTGATCATGGTACGTGGACGGCGGTGCAGTTATTCTCTAGTCGTCAACGTGATATCAGCGACGCTGCATGCGGCGGCGGCGTGGGTGACGGCGCGCGGCGGCAAGGTGGACGAAAGCAAGGCGGCCAACAAGTCGCTGTCGGAGCTCGTGGACACCGCCGGGTGCTGCTCTACTCGTCGTCGGCGCTGTCGTTCTCAGTGGACGACTTCGGCACCTGCGGTGGCCGCAGGGCCGCCGGTGTCTGCAAGGGCTCCGGCGAGTTCTGCCAGCGGATACGCGCGTCGGGGGCCGTCTCGTTGGCGGCCGCCGTCGCTCTGGCTGCGTCCAAGTACCTGAAGGACGTGCCGGCGGCCACGGCATGGTTCAAGGGTGATGAACAGAAGGCAAAGCACGGTTGTGGCCGCGGCTGCCATTGCCACCATTAGCTCATCTCTGCGACCGACTCCCTTGGTCCCATAACCAGCCGTCAATCGTGTTACGAGAAGTTCTTTATTTGGAGAGTTGAATCACCTGAATTTCTTGCTAGAAGAAACTGTTTCTGTAATTAAGTTTTGAATTGAAATATTCAGAGGACTGGAAATCACCTGAATTCTTACTTTGCATTGGTTTTTGTATTAATTCTGTCTGGACTGGAAATTCAGTTAGTACTTGGTACAGGTATTGTTTTCTGATTTTGTCGTAAATGTTTAACATTAATTAATATGAATTTTATTGGTGACATCATTCTGACATCAAAGCTTTTATCATGATCTAAATTGAAAAGAGGGGCATAATGTTTTCTAGTGCAGAGTTTCAGTTTCGGAAATCAGCCAACATCATGGTTTTAAATAGCGGGCTATCGAAAATATCGGCAACGTTTTTCAGCTGCTATGAAGTCATAGCGCAGCTATAGCGGCGCTATGACATTTATCGTTTTTTTTCAAACAAAAACATGAAAAATATCAATAATTGATGGACAAAAACATGACAAATTTGAAATTCCATAAACACAAATATGTTTCTAACGTTCCACAAGTCTAGGTAACATTATTAATATGACATTTATACATGGTTTATGAAACTCCAGTGCTTAATTGTCCAAAATAATAAATTAGTAGCAAATGATAATTGTACAATATGGCTTATGAGGCTTTGATATGGCCTGTTGGCAAAATCTGAAATGGCGCCGCTATTTGAACGCTAAAGTTATGCAATTTAGCGGCGCTATAGCACTAAATAGCAATTAAAGTTGGTATAGCGGCACAAATGACAATGGAGCGTGGAGTCTCTCCTGCCGCTATAGCCCGCTATTTAAAAACCATGGCATGCATATTTTTATTTTGTAACCAGTACCAAACATTGAAAGGTACTTATTTTGTAAATACGTGTCCTGCGTTTATTTTCTAAAAGGTCACGATCAAACATATAAACAACCTCTTGGGTGTTTCCATGTGACTGCATCCCAAAGATGATTTGGGCCTTCCATTCCTTCACATTAGAGAAGTAATAACTACCAGAAAAGAAATCATGGCAAGATCCAAAGAAGTCTAGCTTGCAATATTCACTTGAAATAAATTGCTTTTTATATAAAACAAATCATGCAAGCGACCTGTTGATTATATTAAAAGGTAAAAGTACAGCAACACAAGGATGATTATATTAAACAGCTAAATGTATCCAGAACATGATTCCTCTTCATTTAAATGTACTGTAACTCACTTGACTTCGCTGAGATCTTGTGCATCGAACTCTTATCGCGTTTAGTGATTTACCAACCTGTCACGATCAAGCATGATAGGAACAGTTCAGGTAGTAACATATAATGTTAAATATGTTAAGTTGTCATGACTCATGAACCATTGCATAGTTGAGAATTAAAGGCTAGCCATGTTGCGGGCGTCGATGGATTACTGTCGTCATTGACCTATATAAACTTAGATTTGCCCAATTGTTGGCGCAATGTTCTCTTGCTTATTCAGGAATCAGAGGACTGATTCTAGTCCCTATACATCAAGGCTAACAGTATTTTGTTCCAATGTTAAACACATTCTACCTCTTCATGCATTTGGAACCGTTCAAATAGAAGGAAAACTTAGTGTTCAATTAAATAATCTGAATACTGAATAATAAAATCAATGTCTTGCCTCTCGGACGTCGGACAACTTGAAATGAACAGATATTTCAGAATTCCTTATTGACGCAATGTCCCTTCTTAGCTGAATTAATTAGAACAAACTCTGCAACTTAGACGACGACAAGGAAGTTTGAAGGAAAGAAGTCACTACCGGATACAGGAGCTTTGCCGAGTGTCAGGGGCACTCGGCGAAGCCCAAAAAACACTCGGCAAAGGGTTTGCCGAGTGTTACACTCAGCAAACCCTTTAACGCCAAACGCTAGTTTGCCGAGTGTTTTTGTTGCCGAGTGCCCAAAAAACACTCGGCAAACTTTTTTTTCAAAAAAAAAAGACACGCCCGCACCACTAGCACGGCCGCCGCCACCACCATCCACGCCGCCGTCCCCTCCACCGCCTGGGGTGCGCCGGATCTAGAGCTCAGGTGGCGGAGCTCGCCGGATCCACGCTGCCAGGCCGGAGGGAGCTTGTCGGAGGGAGAGAGGAGAGAGGGCGCGCCGGAGATGACATAGAGCTGAGGTGGAGGAGGAGCGCCGCATCGCCGGCCCGACGCCGGTGGAGGAGCACCGCCACCTCGCTCGTGCCTGTCGGATCCGGGCTGCTCCACGCCGGATCCGGGCTGCTCCTCGCTGGGGCACGCCAGATCCACCCTCGGAGCGCCGCCGGAGCAGACCTCCGCCACCGGGAGACACGCCGCCGGAGCAGACCTCTGCCCCGCTCGCCGGCTGCCACCTCCATCCCGAGAGAGAGAGAGAGGTGTGAGAGAGAGGCTCGGTGAGGAGAGGGAGACGGCCGCTACCGGAGGGAGAGGAGTGAGAGGGGCGCTCGGTGAGGAGAGAGAGGGGGCGCCGGCGAGGCGAGGCGAGGGGAGGGGAGGGGAGGGAGGAGGTGCGTCGGCGAGGGCCGGCCGCCGGCGGGAGGGCAGGGAGAGGGAGCTAGTGCTCGTGTGCGGGGGGAGGGAGGGGGTGGCGTGCGGCGGGGTTTTATGTCTAGAAAAAAAAATTTAATTCTTTGTTGAGTGTTCTAGATCTAGCACTCCGCAATTTTTTTTTTCTTCTCCTTTATTTCCAGAAAAAAATTAATTCTTTGCCGAGTGTTCTAGATATGAGCACTCGGCAAAGTTTTTTTTTCATTTTTTTTTCTTCTCCTACTTTTTCAGAAAAAAGATTTTATTTCTTTGCCGAGTGTTTTTTTTGACACTCGGCAAACCCTCTCTTTGCCGAGTGTTTTTTTTTTACACTCGGCAAACCCCTTCTTTTGCCGAGTGTTTTTTTTTTTGCCGAGTGTTTTTAGCGCAGCATTCAGCAAATAACTTAGTCGCCGAGTGCCCGAGGGAATACACTCGGCAAACATAAAAACACTCGTAAAATTTGAGGACTCCGGTAGTGAGTCCATCCAATGAGACGCACGATGTTGCCACAATCTGATTATATGTGACGCAGATTTCATTCTGCAAATCTCTTTAGAATACTCAAATATCTCGGTAGCAATGTGGGTCATCTGAATGTTTCCTTCGGCGTGGAGAGCACATAGTTTGGGGATTACAGGGGGATTCAGTGCTAATTGTTAACTCTGCAAGTGCCAGCACAAATTCTTTGTTTGAAATGAGCCAAGGATGGATAAATTGTTGGTTGCTTCACGCATTCATTCAGAGAGAACTTCTCCACCACTGCAAGCATCTGGATTCTGGACCCAGTTTATGCAGCTTGGTTTGTGCATTGGTCTGGTACACTCATTGCCTTCTCTTCTCAACGATGGCAGACGAGGTGTACAAGGCGCTGAGCCTCCTCTTCCGCATCGCCGCGCTCGGTCTGTCGGTCGCGGCCATCGTTGTGATGGGCACCGCGAGCCAGCTGGTCATCGTCGACGGCAACCCCGAATCCTCGAGCTACTCCGTCTCCTACAGCCAGTACAACGCTCTAAGGTATCTAACAAAGAGGCTTGCACAATCACATATTCACATGCGACGTTGCCGACGTGCATTGAGATCCGTGCGGCGCGCGTACGTGCAGGTACTTCGTGGCGGCCGGCGCGATCGCAGCCGTCTGCTCGGCGGCGGCGCTGTACCTGCTCACCGTGAGTGCCGACGCCGCGGTCGTCTCGGTGCTGCTGGTGCCCTTCCTCGACGCCGCCACGCAGGGCTTCTTCTTCTCGGCGGCCGGCGCGGCCTTCGCGACCCGTGACGTTGTTGGCGGCACCGGCACGGCGGCTGGTTCGTGGGGAAGCAGCGCGGGAGGAGGAGGCAGCGTGTGCGACGCCGCCGGCGCGTTCTGCGGCAGGGTGACCGTCGCGGAGGCGGTCTGCGCGTTCGCGGCAGTCTCCGCCGCTGTCGCGGCACTGGCCAGGGACGCGGGCGACGGCAGCTCGGGAGGGCGGCGTTCTCACTGGTGATAACTGATAACCGTGATCGATCGGCCGCTGCATGCGCGCCATTGCTCGCATCGTCCTTTTCACCTGGGCTCGGATGGAGGAGAGTGTCGAATCTTTGAAGAGTGAACGCGGTGGGGGTTTTAGTACTACCTTGTATATAAGTCGACGGTGATTTTAATCCTACAGTTCAACGGATTCAGTTCTTTTTATTTCTATCGAACCATGGCACGAGAACTATGCGTCTCATCTTTCATCATCATGCATGGATGATGTAATAAAAAGAGATGCGGGATTTTTTTTTCTATTTTTGCCTCATTTCATTTCGTCGTAGATCACACAGACAACCTCTCATGTGACTTCATTTTTTTTTATCCAAATCGGGGCTAAAGAAACCGTGGAGATAAGGCAACGACTTTTCGGCGCCCGGACGTCCACATAGACGGCGCGTATGGAGGCACGGGTATTATCCTGCACCACATCTCATGATTCGAGTCCGCATCCCATCCAGCGTCAGTGCCTCCGCGTCGGGATGTCGTACCCATGCCCGTCCCGCGCTCCAGCAGCCCATCCCGCATCCCACGCCCATCCCTAGGCCCCACGTGGGCCCAGTCACCTTCTCCGCTTGCGGTTGCGTGCCGCGGTGGTGTCTGCCGGCCTTAGGGGCCTGCATGGAGATCCACGGCAGTGCCTCCAGCAACAACAGCTCGCTGCGGCAGGCCGCTGTCCTCCAGCCACTAGCGCCATTGTAACATGTGCTCTCCCAGATTTACTTTTGAAATATTCAGATGCAACTCTTGCAGCATACGTCTGAAATAGATAAAACATTTGAAACATACGTTTGAAACATGCGTGTATAGCCATAGCAACATATGCAACATCGAGATCACTTTTGCAACATCCAGATGAAACACTTGCAACATGAGTCTAAAACATCTGAAACACTTGAAACATGCATATAGAGACTTAGCAACATATGCAACATCTAGATGAAACACTTCAAACGTACGCCTGAAACACATGAAACACTTAAAATATAGGTTGCCACATATGCAACATCCTAGATCTATTGGGAACACTCAGAAGAAACACATGAAACATAAGTCTAAAACGCCTGAAACACAACATCACCGGTGGCCACAGCCTAGCTACCTGGTGGGGAACTTCAGTAGCCAACAAGCTCGGGTTAGAGGGACGTCGAGAGCAACGGTCCAACGTACACTCCTGGCACAGCGCGCAGGCCTCTCCTTCCTGCCGACGGGCGTGCTAGATGGGGGCACAGGTGCAGGCCTCTCGTGCCTCTCGTTCTACGACTGGGAAGCTGGATGGGGGCCAGGCGCAGAGCACAGAGCAGGGCGGGATGTGGCCGGGCGCAGTGGCGGAGAGGAAGGCGGGCGGGAGACGCGGCGGAGCGTGCGGTCGCGGAGTGCAGTTGCGGTGCTTTTTTTAAGAAATTGTGGTGCTTGAAGAGGAGAGGATAAGAGAGCCTATGGGCATCGTGGCCCACCAACGGGGCTGTACCAATAGACGGATGCCCTGGACAAAACATTACCGATGACTTTTATTACGGGCACGCCCGTTCACTCTCTCGCCGCGCCCTCTCCTCTCATTCTTTCTCCCTCTCTCTCTCTCTCCTCGACGACTGGCAAGCTCCTCCCCACACCCGCGCGAGCTCCTCTCCCACCCGCGTCGGTCTGGTGGTTCCGGCAGATCCCGCGTCGGTCAGGCGGATCCCACGTCGGCCATGGCGGTGGATCCAATGATGGCAATGGCAGATACGCCGAGGTAGGCCTACACCTCCTCTCCTCCTAGATCCCCGAGTTAGGGTTCCGACGAGCTCTCCCTCTCGTCTTCCCCAACTCTGATAGGCTTAGGAAGGGAAGGTTTGGGGGAAGGAAGGCTAGTCATGAGGATGGTTGGAGGGCGGTTAGGGGCCCTGGCGGGGGTGGAGGGGGCAGGGCCAGGTCAGGGCAGTGGAGCTTTGGCGAGGGGGGCGGGAGGGGGCAGACAGCCGCCACGAGCACGCTATGACTTGGTCGGAGCTCCGCGGTTACAGCGGGGGCTGCAGAGCTCCGGCCAAGCCCTAGCGTGCCATGGGCCGTGGCAGGGTGGGGGCAGCAGTGGGGGCAAGGGCGAGGAGTGTGGCCACCGGCGAAGAGGATGGAGGGGGAGGTGGTTGGCGTGCACGAGGTTGAAGATGGCCTAACGCACGCATGTCAGTAATTTAGCCGTGTACTAAATTTTTTCATAGGCATGGGTCACCAAATCCATAATCACAATGAAATTTTTATGTCATAACGAAAGATTGTGCTATTGTAATTTTTTCCTTGCTCGGTGCACCCGAATTTTTTATTTTTTGGCCCTTTTTTTGAAAGTTTTCCACAAATATGCCCCTGGAGGTATGCTTTCAAAATCTGGACCCTTAGCTCGACGCCATTGTTGGTGGCGCCGAGCTTACACATCTCGGCGCCAAAGGGTTTGGCGCCTAGGTCGGGGGGGCCATGTCGGCATCAAAGTAGAGCCGTGGGTGACATGGCGGCCAGCTCGGTGCCGTGGATCTTGGCGTCGTAGATCTTGGCGCCGAGTTTGGTGCCATAGATCCTGGCAACGAGCCGGCCTTACAGGTAGGTCCTTTTCCTTTCTTTCTTCCTTCCTTTCCTTTTCCTCTCTTCCTTTCTTCTCTCTCGCCCGACACCTCCCGCCGCCGGCGCTGCTCCCGCCGCCCCTCTCGTGCGTCCTAGTTGGGGACCTCTCCATGCCAGCGAGGCGGAGATGACTGGGGAGTCACCGGCCTAGGCCATAGGCGACACGTGGTGGTCACAGCACCAGCGGCCAAGGTCGACGCGCGGAGGTCGCGGCCCCGACGGTCGAGGGCGGCGTGCGAAGGTCATGGTCCCCATGGCCGATGGTGGCGCGCGGAGGTCGCAACCCAGTGAGGAGGCGTCGTCGTCTTTGCAGATCCGTCTCTGCTGAGCCCTCTACACGGTGAAAGTCCTCTCTCTGTCTTCCTCCGTTGTGTCTTTTTTCTCCACTTCTTAATGCAGTAGAGTCACTTGCAACTTGTGACGAGTTAAATAAACTAGGTGCCAAATTGATCCTTGCAGATCTAGAGGCCTGAGGGGTGTACTGTGTTCTCTTAGTTTCTTCGTTAGGAGTGGCAGCGGCAGCAGCATACATGTGTTCTTTTAGTTTCTACAATGTTATTTCTGGAATTGAGGTGTCATACATCTTTAGTTATTTCTGGTAAGTGACCACCTTCACTTATATCCGGAAGGGATGAATAAGCTTGGTGGATTAATTTTATTAACGTTGATTTGGTGCTCAAACTGTAAATTTCAGATAATTGATAGTATGTTCAGTAAAAACTAGGTGCTGAACTGGTTGGGATGCAATGTGCTCTGACATTTCTTTTAGGATCTTATTTGATCTTGCTGTTGTTTTCGTTGGATTAATTGCCATGTAGGATCTTATTTTGTACTGGAAATTCATGATCTCACTGCACATATAGATGATGCTTGATGGTATTTTACATATATATGCAGGCATTGTTTACCATTAGTTAACAACAGGAATTTTCGATTCAATTATGTGTGCAGCATTCTACCTTCGGACCTAAACTGTTTCTAGCAAAATTCTCCTTGTTTCTGTGGATGTCCATAATGTATGTTCCTTACTCTTTACCAACTTCCGCACGATGCTTCTTTATGAGGGAAAAAACTCCGCAATCTTTCGTACTTAAGTATTTCTGTAGATAATATTGTAGTTGCAGTTGAACACAAGTATCCAAGTCTAAGAACCAAGAATCCAGTCCAACTAGCAGAGTATCCAATAATTATCTAGAATTGCAATTGCAATGTTTTTTAATCAATCTGTTTCAAGTTATCTGTGTTTGTATTTAAATTTTCCTAATACATACTTTTCATTTGGTGTTTTATTGTTTATGTCATGCTTTTTTCTGACAAGTATTTATCATACTACATTTTCCTTCTGCTGTTTCTTTGGTGTGAACAGATTGCCAAACCTGGCTATGAGCGTCACCTATTTAGTTGGATTGGTTTTCTTCCTCAAATAATGCTAACATTTGATTCTACATGGAAGCAGTGACCATGGTAATTGTGCCACTGGCGCTGGCAAGGCTCACCTGCTCCTGGTAGGTGCTTCTCTCATGCTCCCAGGAATTCTTCATTTTTAATTCTCTATATACTGCTCCTGATAGAGATTGGACTGTAAGCTCTTTTTTTTTTGAGATAGATTGGACCGTAAGCTGTGAAGTACCTGATTACTGGACAGTGGAATTACTTGTCTTCATTTATTGGTGCAATAATTGATATTTTTCCTAGAACAAATGGTATTGTTCACCAAACATATTTAGTTGGTTCTGAAGTTTTGATCCCGTTCTCCTGTCCATCTTATCATGTGTCATTGCAGGGGATTGCTATACAAGGTGAAGGTGAGGCTTGCAGGCTGTTGTGTGCAGTGTACACCGCTGTGAGTCTGTGCCGCTGATCCATCTTTGCAAACTTGGGAGGCTAAAGAAGGGAGCTTGACCATTTGCTGAACATATGGTGTTTCATAACACTGGAGTTAGTAATACCCCTACCACTTTGGAAACTATTAGAGACTTGTGTTTTATAATGTATGGATTTCATGTAAGAATGAATGACAAATGCATTTGCAATATTCTTATGGATATGTTAATGCCAATTGCTACGACGCTGAGCTATGGGAATTGACAAATTTTAATTTTTACCATTACTTGGATATTGATTAACGTGGCTAACACTAGAGTTTTTACGGTGACTTGCTGTTTGATCCCTTAAAACAATCTAGAAATACTTAAGATAAAAACTTGACCAAATGGAACTACAGTATGTTCGGGCGACACAGTACAGAGCTCGGCTCCTACAGTATGGTGGGGCCATGCAGGGCTCGGCTCTATGCGTGTATTGCATTGCTAACCGGAGATGCATCGGTGCATGCAACGAACCGTACATGCATGTGTAGGCATGCAAGCACGGATGCAA